TAAAAGAAACAGTGAATTCTGGACGTCTGATATGTTTTCACTCCCTTCTATGGAAACATGATTTCTATTATTTTAAAGATTCATTCCTAGCAATCAGATAGCAGCCAGATATAAACCCCATATGAATGACAAGAGAAAAAAAGAAAATTTCCATCTTACTTATGAATGTAGCTGACAGCTGCAAAAATCCTACCCATATAAGTAAGCAGAACTCCAGTTATGTCAAGGAAGATTCACGTTGAACAGCAGGGAGCTGAAGCTAGGATGACGTGTGCCCTCCCTGTGTGGTGATGACCATGGACTCTGGAGGAGCAGATAGGAAGAGGTGCTGAGCCACAGTCAGATACCCTGGGACTGGGTCACTGGTTGCTTGCAGGGAGCTGAGTCTGGGGAGACCGTGGCCCCATCCCTCAGTATCTCAGGCCCTTGTAAGTACTGGTCTATCTGAGGTTCCAGCACCTGCCCCTCTCAGGGTCTCTGCCAGTGGACATCAGTGTGAACACTGGGGCAGAAAGAGTAGGGACACTGACTTGCATCAAGAGCCTCCTCCTGATAATTGCTCTGGGGAGGCATGAAAAGGACCCAAGGCCACCAATTCCCAGCTGAGGAGTCCAGGGCCATCGAACCTTTGTGAGAGTCTTCACCATGGCCTGGACAACATTCCTTCTTGGGCTCCTGGCCTACAGCTCAGGTCAGGGAAAGGGACTCTGCATTCCTGGGAGGCCACAGAAAGTAGGGGCTCAGGGTGACCCTTATCTCCATAGCAATAACTGTGTCTCTCCTGTGGGTTTCAGGGGCTGATTCTCAGACTGTGGTGATCCAGAAGCCATCACTGTCAGTGTCTCCAGGAGGGATGACCACACTCACCTGTGGCCTTAGCTCTGAGTCAGTCTCTACAGGACATTACCCCAGCTGGTACCAGCAGGCACCAGGCCAGTCTCCACAAAAGCTTATCTATAACACGAATAACTGCCCCTCTGGAGTCCCTGATGGCTTCTCAGGCTCCATTGCTGGGAACAAAGCTGCCCTCACCATCACCAGGACCCAGGCTGAAGACGAGAGTGATTATTACTGTTCACTGTTCCTGGGTGGTGGCATTTCCACAGTGATTTAAACCCATGGGGAAGTGCGACAAAAACACCTGCTGCCTCCAGTGCCTGAGCCCTCACCAGCCCAGAAGTGAGGTGGTGGGAAAGGTGGACCCCACAGTGTCAGCGTCTCCCTGCCCCCTTCTCCTACCCAGGGGTCACTGCCATGTGCCTCATCCAGTCTGTCCCAGGGCGTGTCCACCTCCTCCGTGTGACTCCTCCAAGACTAGCTCCCTCTTTCCCTCTCTGCATGGGGTACTAGGGAAGGGGCTGTGCTCCAAAATACATAAACCAACAGTGAGACCCAAACACCCACCATGACCAGTAATCTTATTCAAGGAGCATGAACAGACATATCCTCAGTGATTTCACTATGGACACCAAAGAATATTTGATTCCAAAGAATATTTGATTTAGTATTTAGAGGATATAATCACCTGGGATTTTGTTACAAATACAACTCCTCAGCCTAGACCAGGGGTTCTCAAACTGTGGGTTGCAACCCCTTTGGGGGTCGAACGACCCTTTCACAGGGGTCGCTTAAGATCGTCCTACATATCAGATATTTACATTACAAAGGCCATTACTACTGGCCTTCAAAGCAGTAGCAAATTATAGTTATGAAGTAACAATAAAAATAATTTTACGGTTGGGTGTCACCACAACATGAGGAACTGTATTAAAGGGTTGAGGCATCAGGAAGGTTGAGAACCACTGTGCTGGAGACTATCCAGGGATTAGTACTAACCGGGCAGCTCCTCCAGGTCTCTACTGGATCTGCAGACATGGGGCCCACATTCAGCTTCCTGGTGATGGTGCGAGAGTCGTGTTACAGGCGTGATCAAACCCTCCTTCTTCCTCCTGCCCCCAGAGACTAGGGAACTGTTAGCTTTCCCAGTTTATGCTTTTAAACTAAAAAGACAAAAGCAAGAAAATAAGATTGAAAACTATGATTATAAGTTTTGTTTCTATGATTGAAAGATGTTTGCTTTTTGCCTTGCTTATTACCTCCCTTTATTCAGTTTCTCACAGGCACAGTCTGCAGTTGGATAAAAGAGAACACAAGCCAATTGCTCAGAGCTCAACAGTATTACCAAGTAGCTACAGAAACCGACAATAAACAAAATGAGACCCCATTCCTGATCTATGGGGTCTCAAAAGAAAAGAGGAAGGAGAAATAAATCTCATACTTCTTAGTGATCCCGGGAAAGCAGCAGGCAGCTGCAGAAGAACTCCTCCTCTAAGATAAGAACACACTTTCCACTGAGCCAAAGTAACCTGGAAAAGACAAAGAAAAAAAAGACTTTGTAACTAACAACAATACCCTCGTTTCTAACATCTGTGGCCATAACTATGTAGCTGATGTTGAACTAAAGAAAAAAAGGTATAAAAGAGCCTGGAAATAAACTGTTCCTCGGAACTCAGCATTTTACACCTTAAGGCACCTGAGTTGTCGCCAGCAATTAAAGGTTCCTTCCTTTATACTATTGGTGTAGGAGTCTGTTTTAATTCATCCTTTTCCTGCAACACTGGCACAGGTAGGAGCCTCTGTCAGGCCCCCCTGGCATCCGATCACAGACACACTGGACCCAGACTTGGGTGCTGTGGAGCTGTCACCTCGGGCTCTCTGGGGCTCAGCTGCGAACCCAGACACCTGGCCCTGGGCGCTGCTCAGGGCTCACTGGAGCCAGCAGCTAGGTGCTCTCTGGCCCCCTCAGGCCGGGCCCAGCATACACCCACTTCTACAAGAAATGATACTCAGACATTGGGGCTGCAAACAGGCCCAGGGAGGGTTGGGCTGGGCAGGGGAAGAGCGGCACATTTGCATGCAGGGCCGCTCTCTCTCCTCTGGGGCTGAAGGAGGGATAAGAGAGACCTGCAGCGCGTCGGCCTCAGCAGAGCTCTGGAGTGTCTGCACCATGGCTTGGACCTCACTCCTCCTCCTCAACCTGCTCCTTCACTGCACAGGTCAGGATGGTCCTCAGCACCCTGACCCCCCAGCCCACTTCCCACACCCATGCCAGGTCTGCCCTTCCCTCCTGTCCTTCTTCCAGGTCATAATGGGTGTCTGGGTTTCCAGGGTCCCTCTCCCAGCCTGTGCTGACTCAGCCATTCTCTGCAACTGCCTCCCTGGGAGCCTTGGTCAAGCTCACCTGCACCCTGAGCAGTGAGCTCACTGTCTACGCCATTAGTTGGTATCAGCAGCAGCCAGGGAAGGCCCCTCGGTACCTGATGTATGTTACCAGTTATGGAAGCTCCAGCAATGGGGACGGGATCCCTGATCGCTTCTCAGGCTCTGGCTCTGGGGCTGACCGCTATTTAACCATCTCCAACCTCCAGTCTGAGGACGAGGCTGATTATTACTGTCAGAGCAGCTATGGTTATACTTCTCACAGTGACACAGGTAGATGAGGAAGTGAGACAAAAACCTCAGCTTGCTCCAGAGTTTTCTCTATGACAATTTTCAAATTTCAAAATGTGCTCCATAGGCACAAACTCTACTTGGGAGTCCTTTGGTGTTTAAAATATTTCTACCCTCAATATCTCCCCAAATGTTTCTGAAGTCTCAGGAAAACCCAAAGCAAAACCAAAGCCCCCTCATGACACTGAAATGCTGCCTGTTTATCCGAATCTGTTTGACCCAGTGCCTGTGGGGCTGGCCTTCTTTTCAAGAAAGTTGGAAAATGATCCTCTCCAGGCTCATGTGTTGGTCAGTGCCCAGGGACCATCTCAGCAGGTGGACAGTCCTGCAACATGGACTGAGCCTTTCCAGGTGTCAGAACAGAGACATCCCCTTCCCTCCCAGTCACCTGTGCTCAGGGCTGCCTGAGGCTCCCTATGTCCTGAGTACCAGGCAGGGGGATGTGAGATGCAGCTAAGGACATGGGTCATGGAGGAACTGCAGGCAGACAGCTGGCCTGGTTCACTGATGGGTTTCTGCAGCTGTAGGTGTCACATCAGGATACAGGGTGGGTGTGGGGACAGTCTGGGACTAAGGCCAGAAACCCCCTTGGAGGAGGTGAGTTTGGGAAAGGGAGGCTCCTCTTTGCTGGGAAATGCTGAGCCTGCTCCAGGGGAGTTGGGGGATGCAGGTCCCATGAATGTGACTTTCCAGAGCTGATCCCACTCGGGAACATGGGGACCCCATAGGTGGGTTTCCCTGAGACCACAGGCACTGACTTTTGTCCTCCCCTCTCCTGCCTCTTTGGAGTTTTTCGACAGTCTAAAGACTGTGGGTCTCTGGGACATCAGGGATGAGAAAACCACTAACTTGTTCCTGTGTCGCCCTCCCTGTGGTCAGGGCTGGGCAGTCCTGGATGGAAACACATTGGCATGAGCAGCCCCTCCTATGCAGAGGGTGGGGAGAAAAGGGGAACTGGGGCAGCCCAGCACCACTGTGGGGACCAGGGCTGTATCCACCATGGCCTGGGCTCCTGTCCTCCTCGTGATCCTCTCTCACTGCTCAGGTAGCAACAGGCCTCAGAGGCCAAGAGCAGCTCCTAGCCTGCTTCTCATCTTCTGACAAAGATTCCTGACAAGCTTGATACTTAATTCTTTCCCCAGTAAGCACCTGTGTCTGTGTTTGCAGGTTCCCAGGTTCCCTCCCCCAGCCTGTGCTGACTCAGCCGCCCTCCCTCTCTGCATCCCTGGGAGCATCAGCCAGACTCACCTGCACCCTGAGCAGTGGCTCCAGTGTTGGTGGCTATGGTACATCCTGGCCGCAGCAGAAGCCAGGGAGCCCTTCCTGGTATCTCCTGTACTACCAGTCAGGTAAAGACCAGAGCCCCAGGGTCCCCAGCCACTTCTCTGAATCTGAGGATGCCTCGGCCAACTCAGGGATCCTGCACATCTCTGGGCTGCAGGCTGAGGACGAGGTTGACTATTACTGCACCACATGGCAGGACAGTACTACTCACAGTGACACAGGCAGATGGGGAAGTGGGACAAGGAGCCCACCCCGCTCACGGTGTCTTGTTCTATAATTTTCCAATTTTAATCTATCTCTCTTACACATGACCTCTATTTGGAGGCACATTCTGGTGCAAAATGCTTTAATTGTCAATTTCTGTACATTGTTGCTTTTCTCAAGAAAACTGAAAAGAACATGACAAAAAACCTTGTGAGGACAGTGAATATGGCCTGTTTATCCAAGTGAAGTGAATCGGGGCCTAATGAGAAAGCTTTTTTGTCTCTTGTTTTTTTTTTTTAAAGATGGAAATGAGCCTTTCCCAGCTGAAATCATGGTCAGAGCTGGTGGAATGTCCCCTGCATCCTGGGTGCTGCTGTTCTGTGAGTCAGAGTGGAGACTCACCCTTCCCAGCCATTCACGTGTGCTGAAGACTGGCGGAGGGTCACTGTGTCCCAAGCATGGGACTTAAAGATGGAAAATGCTGCCTGAGGATGCAGGCCTGGGAGTAAGTCCAGGCACAGAGCTGGCCTGGGTTCCTGCAGCTTTAGCTGTCACATCAGGGTAGAGGGTGGGTGTGGGGACAACTCTGGGCCTGAGGCAGCAAATCCATTTCAGGAAAGTGAGAGGGGAAAGGGGAGGCTCCACCTCTGCTGGGAAATCTGAGCCTGCTCCAGGGGAGTTGGGGTGGTGTGTAGAAATGAGCACCCCATGCTCAGAATGGCAGTTTGTCTCTTGTGTTCTTCATGAAGAATGGCTCTGAGAAGGAATCTTTTCTCTGAGGTCCTGCCTGCAGCCTGCAGAAATGCAGAGATGCTCCCACGAAAGGGCTAGGCCTGAGTTGCAGCTGGAAGCTCCAGCACCTGTCACCTGGCCTTGGGTTCTGTTCTCTGTCTTCTTCCCTCATTAACATTATAATCTCTGGTTTTGGTTTGGGCCATGGAGGACAGCCAGTCTCTTTTATGTTTTTACCCCAAACAAGATCAATCGTATATGTGTTCAACAGCCTTCACACTGAATTGTAATCTTAATAGCAGTTTCTTGATCTTACTTCACTTCTTTTTATCTGTGTTAAATTCTTACTGAATGTTTGAGAGTATATAAGATAATCAGTAAAAT